AGTGCTCTGGCCGCATGATTTTATACTTGTGTCCCATTTGTCTCCCACTTGTCTCCCAGTAAGCTCTGGATGCTCTGAGTCACAACCTGGATCCATAAATTTCATGTTTTAGCCCTTGTACGGCGTCCCATTGTAAGGTCAATGAAAAACATAATGTTAATGCTTTCCCTTTGAATCTTGTATGTGCGTCTACATGGTGGACTACAGTTTTCTTCCTCTAGGAAATACTGCTGGCCATATTGTTCGGAGATCTCATTTTTGAACATTGCCCTGTTTGGGGTCTACGCTGGTATAATTTTGTAATACTGGTTCGGTGCTGAAGGGAGTCTTTATGGAATTGGTATACGGGGGGGACCCCCTGAATTTCCAAGGGAATATTTTGCCATCGGCTTTCCTTTCGCTTCGACTCAAAGCTCTTTGTTCGACTCAAAGGGCCCATCTATTGTAGAAAAGAAGTAAGTCCAGACCTGGCAGACCTGGCAGGGTTTTGGCGACCGAGTGTTTTGGCATTGGCCACTCTGTTTTCCACAAGCTGGATGGAGTTGGGTTGGATCATCTAAGTCAGACCAGTCAACTCGTCCCTGATCCCCAGCCCGGCGCCCTGTGATGACACGCCCCTGGCAGCAGACCAACGCGAGTCGACCGTCCGGCGCCCGAGCACCGATCGGATCTGCCGCGCCAAGCGGTGAAAAGCAGTCGAGGCGGTGCCTGCGGTGTGGGAGACCAGGTGCTTCCGCGAATCCGAACGGAGTCTGTGCGGTGGACGGCCCATGAGCCACTGTCGTCCGGTGGTGGGGAGTCCTTTAAGTGTCAAGTGCAGTCCATTTTCTCAGATGTTGTGCCACTCTAAATGGGACTGTTGGTATGGCTCGGCCCATGGAGTCTTGGAGGCAGTGGGTGAAACCCACTCAAACGTCCAGTCTCCAAGGTGCGAATGTTCATTTGACTTTGGCCTCCCACAGCTTTGGCCCAAACATAGCTCAAGACAAACAAGGAACCCAATCATGTCTAGTCTAGTCCCTGTGCGCTGGTCTACGCAGAGCAACATTCCAAAAACATCCGAAGCGACGTCCTCATCAGTTCCTGCAGAACGTTTTTTTCAAAAGCCAACCTCAAAGTGGTTTGGGTGTGGTTGTCAGCCAAGTTTGATGACCACCTTCAACTTGACGATACAAACTGCATTGAGAAGAGCCAGAGACCCACTCATGGAGCCAAGCAACCACTCGCCTTCAGATCATCACGACCATTGGCCATACTCATCAGAACGTAGATCTGCATGCCCCCTTCTACCGAGCAGATGACAAGTCAACGCAACCAGCAAGTCCCTCTATGGACCTTTCAAGCTTGCCCAAGACGGGCGAGTGGAGCTTCCAAGATGGGAGCTGCTGTCTCGCCCTGTGTGCAAAGCTACTCCTGTGCCGTAGCCGGATGGGGTGTCCACCGGAGTTCACGGCGGCGTGGTGGATTGAGATAGTGGGAGGGGATGAACTCAGCCTTAGCCATTTTTTATGGGTTCAGCGGCCGGGTCACTGTTCACAGCCTATTCTTCCGGCTTCAAAGGTTACCTGAACAGCTCTGGAGTGGGACAGAATCCTCCAGTTCCTCTCACAGTAGTGTGATTTTCTCCTTCCCGAGACACACAGGGGACGCTGTATAAATGCACACCACCCAGCACAGAACAAGTATGACACATCAACGAACCAGCATCAACAGCAAGTATGAACGCTAGCGGACACCTCCTTGATAATTCGACTTCCCTAAGAAATCGAAGCACGCGCCACACACTGCCGCTACCTCGCAGCTCTCGAGCTGCGAGGTGAATGTGACAAGGTTGCACCAGTGGCCGGGGCACCGAGTTGGCCCACGTGGCCTCCCGCGCGCAGGACGCGTCGCCGGGACGCGTCGCTTACGGGACCGCGTGGACGCGTGCTCCAAGCGGGGTGTCCGAAGGGGTCCTAAGGATCGAAGGTTCCGAAGGTGTCCTGAGAGAACTGCTATAGGGAAGCGAATCAAACATGTGCGGATCGGGGTTTTAAAAAGCTTCACTTGGATTGCTGAAGAAAGACTGGCCCCCCGCATTCAAGAATTCCTCTCCAAGAAGGGCATTTTCTGTTGCAGTATAGTCTTTGTCTGCCTGTGCCAAACTCTTTCAATTTGCTCATACCTACTGATGTTGCCAGAGCGCAGTGTTGAGGAGATAAACGTGGGAGGAGCAAACACACCCAACGACAGTAAGAAGAGCTTCGGAGTTTGGCCTTGGGGTATCCTTTGAATTTGCTCAAGGTCGACAAAATGAGTATTTTTTGGATTGTGCTGACTTATTCGGTCATCCATTTTGCTTTGTGTGTTGTGTTGTGTGTTGCCGTTGTGTGTTTATGTTGCTCCAACTGAGCATCGACCTCATGTGTCCTGATTGTCGGAGGCCTGACTCCAAGAGTCATGTCTCATGATGTCCGTCCCCGAGGTGAAGCCCCGTTTGCGTGTTGGCTGCGCCGTGGGCATCACAGCAAGCCCGGTGCAGTTTGGGATCGTGCGGAATGCCCAGGGGAGATCGATGGGCTGTGGTGATCGATAGCAGCTGGGGAACCTTGGATGAGCTGGGGGTTGGGTGTACTGCATGTTCCAGACTGGTTCAAGACTTGTTCACCATGTATTGTATAATTAACCTGTAATTATATACCTATACAGAACCCATTTGACCTTTGTTTTGATAGGAAAAGACCATGTTCTGGCTCCAAAACAGGGGTCAATCAGGTTGTAAATATATACCTGTCACATCGATGGTGGGCCCGTTGAATCACCGAACCACTGAGCCTCAGACCGCGGCCGACGCGCCACCAGCGGCCCAAGAGACGCGCGCGACCCGACCATGAGCGCTCCCGGGGGCGGAGGCCAGCGGTCCCGAGTGGATGTGGAGAAGGGAAGAATGGATGGCATGCTTCCCCAAAGATCGTTTTCTGGATGTGGATGGCTTGCTTCCGCTTCTTTTTGGCAATTCCTCTACCAAAGCAGAGGGTTTTTCGATGGTTTTTTCAACGTTCTTTTCTGGACACTTCCGTGTTTGTCAGAGGGTAACGGTGGAGGATTCAACGACATCCGCCTTGTTGTTTCACCAACCTATATGCTTCAATTCCTACCGCGGCTTGGAGGATGCCTTCTTTGAAGCCTAGGTGTTTTTGCTTTACTTGTTACTGTATATTTTTACTATATATTTTTACACAAATAATTATATAGCTATATAAATTATCGAAATACTCATTATACATACATCAAGTTTCAGCATAGTTGATGTCAGAATCTTTGATTTCTTTCTAACGACCTAGACATGTCTACATCACAGCTTTCTTTCATGAAACATGGTGAGCTCAGGTAGTTTGGCTCAACAGGTCGTCGTGTTTTCGAGAAAAACGGCCGTTTTCACCGCTCGCCAGGCGCGGGCGCACCGGGCGCGCCGGGCTTGCCGATGGGCATGTACGGGGGCCGAGATGGAGGAGGGAGAGCGTGTGCATTTGCGCGTGAAAGAAGCCAGCCAACCAAACAAAGTACTCCAACATCATGAGGAGGAGGGAACTGAAAAGCAGAAGTGAAAACATGTTTTCTTTGTTTTGAAAGCCAAGATTGTAGAGGAGCAGAGGGGATGAACTTTGTTGGATGCAAGTGATCCAAGGATATCGAAGGTTTCTTGGAGTCCTGACCCTCTGATTTCGGATGTTTCAAGTGCGTCCCACCACCGGTCGCCACACAGGTCGAAGGTCACCCCTGGTGTCTTCCCCTCCGGCCACCCTTCAGATGCGGTGCGGTCGCCTGAACCAGTTCGTATGTCGATGAACCCGGAATGTCCACGGGGCAACAACCAGGATGAACCAATGGACGAGCTCAACGGTGCTTATTAAACTGTAAAACATGGCACAAGCTCAGTGCAGTACTCGCCTAAACCATCGTGCTACACATGTGCTACATACCCTACTATAGGTCTTATTTGTTGTCTTAAGCTAAAGCACAAAAGACACACCCGTTGCAGGAGCATGTGTAGGTATGTAAGTAGGATTAGCATAGGCACAGCAGTTGCAAGATATGTTGTGTACCCCTCTTCGTTCAGCATACTACACTTGACTGTGCTTGCTGAGCAGATCCCCTCTGGACTTTTTGGAGGAGCACTTCTGAATCGGCAGCTTTGTAGCTCACCGTGTACGAGGGAGTTGGCGGATGTCCCTCTCACCTGTTGAGGCCGGGAATGATGCCTGGGCTGCCCGGGACAGGCGCCCACCGCGTTTCGGCGGAAGACGTGTGGTAGTGGTAGCTGGAATGAAGATCCTGAATTCCGAGGTGGTGTAGAATTTCTTCCATCAACAGTCACGAAAGTGCGGACAGCTTGGGTGTTCAATGAGAAGGTACTGGTATATGGATAGGCTTTGCTATGTTTTTTCTTCTTTTCCTCTGGCGCTATGAACATCCGTTTCAACGTCAACTTGATTTGTCTCAGGAGGGATTTGTAAGTGACCTCCATACGGAGGTCGTCACATGGAGTGCTGCCTAAGGATACGGAGCTCACACAGTGAGCAAGACCCGTATGTTGATCTAAAACCCCGTGTAAGGAGTTTATATATATATATATACAAAACAGCCTTTCAGATGTTAAAACCATCCGCGAAAGATTCGCGATGAGGTTCGCGAAAGTATCATTTTTTTCCGCGAAAGATTTATCGAAGGTCATCGCTTTCATATGTTTTCCTTTCTACCGATTGACAATCCTCCGGCAGAGCCGGTGGGCGGAAGTGCCCCCACATGTCCCCATTGTCACAGACTAACGAACTGAAGCCTTAACATTTCCGTCAGCCCTGGCAGATTCTCCGATTCCTGTCGCCACTGTCACAGACTAGCAACCTGAGTAGGCACAGCCCTGAGAGTGAGGCAAGGACCTGCAGCTGCTCTGACGGGCTGTGCAGATGTTTGCAAATGTTGCGGCTTCCCGGGGAAAGCACCAGTGAAATTTCGCGAACGATCCGCGAAAGTTTCGCGAGTGTGCCGCTAAGGTCCAGGTTCCCTGTTTGACACATGCACATGGACGGTTGCTGGTCCCTGTTTGACTGTTTGACTCCTTTCGTGTTCTCCACATTAAACCATGTTAAGCCAATCAGGGACCATCCAAAGAGAACATGTCGCAGGTAGCTATGGAGTTATGGACTTGGTCTAGAGTCTTTATATTCGACCACCGTAGACTCCAAACAGCTTGTGCTTTTCAAAGTCGGAACACTCTGCAACCATACAGCTTGCGACGTCCAGAGCTGGGAGACAAAGGATTGCAAGGCAGAGGCGGACACAGCAGTCCAGAGCTGGGAGGCAACAAATGTAGACACGGGGAGACACATGTAAAGGATTGCAAGCGACATGCAGCCAAGAGCTGGGAGACAAATAAAGGATGGCAAGGCAGAGGCGGATGCAGGAGACAAGGATTGTGAGGACAAATGTAAAGGATTGCAAGGCAGAGGGGGACGCAGCAGTCAGAGCTGGGAGACACATGTAAACTAAGGATTGCAAGGCAGAGGCGGACCAAATGTCAAGGATTGCAAGCGAGAGGCGAACAAGGATTGCAAGGCAGGTTGGCACCGTGCAACAAGAAGGGAGACAAGAAGGGAGACAAAAGGAGACAGAAGGGAGACACAGAGAGACAGACAGAGAGACAGACAGAGAGAGAGAGAGAGAGAGAGACCGACAGAGAGACAGACAAAGAGACAGACAGAGAGACGGACAGAGAGACAGACAGAGAGACAGACAGAGACATAGACAGAGACACAGACAGAGACACAGACAGATACACAGACACAGACAGACATACAGACACAGACACAGACACAGACACATTGCAAAAACAGACCGGCAGATAGACCGACAGACCGACAAACGGACGCCTTTGCTTTTTCTCCTCGCTCACATTGGCATACACAGGCGCATGCGCTACATACATGCGCACGTGCACACAGACATGAAATCTCTTTGTCAGAAAAGATTCCACATGTACGTGCGCGCGCATAATGCACACATATGTGCAACGTTCGTACACGGTAGTACCTATCCTGGATAAAGCGCAAGGGGGGGTCGAGTCCGGGACCTTTCGGTTGCAAGTCCATGGCGCGGACCGATTATAGAATCTCGGACGGTGCCCTGGCCTGGACATTAAGATTCTTTGTTCACTGCTTAGGCATAAACCGTCCGACTCCACCGGCGTGGAGTCGGACATTTTCCGGAGCGGAGTCGGACGCGTTGCCCAAAAAACGTCCGATTTCATTTTGGCGGAGTCGGACGATATATCCAATGAACAAATCAACTAGCAGAGGCGGACGCGGCGCAAATCTGCTTGCCATGTCTCATCTACCGACCTCTAGTAGAAGCCGCCAGAAGCTCGACCCGTGGGGTGTGTTCAGCCTTCGCGGAGAAACCGTATAACAAACGGTTTCAAGGAAGTAGAGATCACGTCGTCCGCTGTAGTAGGGTATGAACGACTTTATTTTCAGGACCTATGCCGGAATCTGTTGCTCGCCCTTCTTCAGCGTCGACGCTTTTTGTTTCTCGCCGCTCATACACATGAAAACACTTCTACGCTGATGCGTAAGTAAGGCGTGTGAGCCCACGCGCATAGGTTCCAATCAACATGCGTACGCGCTCGTACAGAACGAGACACACGGACAGAACGAGAGGCAACCAGACGCAGAGAGACGACGAAACGAAAACCGCTACCAAAGAGTTGATCCGGGTTGCCAGACTCGGTGGGTTCCCCGTGTGTGGGTGCGCTCGAACCACCGTGGCAAAGACATAGTGTCTACGCCTTCCGTTTCAGTTGGGTATGAAGTAATTTTCAGGACCTTATTCTGGAATCTGTTTCTCGTCATTCTTTGGTGTCGACCAGACAAACATCAAACCACATATACACTATATGTGCGCACATACGTGCACACGTGCAGACAGACATGCAGACTCTCTTACAGACGGACGTCGGAAATACGTAGCTACATGTGATGTGTATATATTATATATACATATATATATATATACGCATACCTGCGCGCACACACATTGTGCTATAGCCCGGACAGGGTGCGGGGGGAGGGACCTTTGCGTTCCGAGCCCGCGCCCCGAACCCAAAAAAACGCATCCAAGGGACGTTATGATTCCTTCTTCAGCATGGTCGCGTCGCATCTCGTTTGACCCCGCCGGCGGGGGTCAAACGAGAAACGCCAAAGGGGTCAAACGAGATACGCTATCTCGTCCGACTCCCCGCCCTGGGGTCAAACGAGGTGCGAACGCCAGGGTGAGAAGGGAGAGGCAGCCAAAGACAAGGCCCTGCAAGCAACGCGGCCGCTCCGTGAAGAGCAGAGGAGTCGGTCCAGTCGCGACGGCGTAGAGCGCGCGCCCTCGAGCAGGCGCCGGCCCACTCCACATGGCATGGCCGCGCTGTGCAACTGTGGCGGTACAGCCTATCCAAGAGACGGACACTGAAGTAGACGAGCAAAGGAAAGCCAGACCCCCCGATGT